GCCAACAACTCCACGAAGGATGCTAGGCCCCAATGCAGCTGGTGCTGTTATCAGCCATGGGGAATGTAGCAATTCGGAATTAAGTGAACAGGAACTGCAAACAAAAACTAGGAGGGAGATAATGCTTCTTGGCACACAGCTAGGTAAGACCAATATTGCAGCATGGGCAAGCAAGAAGGAAGAGGAAAAAGATGCATCACTTTCACTGAAAACAGTGCCCATGGACCAATCAACACAGAACATAACTGCAGTCCGTGCAGCTGCATGGGAAGAGGCAGAGAAGGCCAAATATTTAGCAAGGTGCTTATATTTAATTGTCTTTATATCTATGTTTGAATTCTCTGGGTGCTTGGTAACTTAATATGTTGTGCCTTTTACTCTCCAGATTCAAACGAGAAGAGATCAAGATCCAGGCTTGGGAGGATCATCAGAAAGCCCAAATAGAAGCTGAAATGAGAAAAATTGAGGTTAGCAGATTATTTCCTTTCAATTTTGCACGTCAACAGAAACATAACAATGGCAATAGATTCCTGACAAAATCTGCAAGTTACTAAGATGCATTTTCCACCCCTTGAGTTTTTTAGCATCCTTGTTTTATTCTTTTTGCCATGACATTTGCAAAATGCATATGCATACAACAATCCCTTCATGGGAAGTTTGTTCAGTTGTGAATAGTATAGTAGTTATCCTAGCTTTGTTAATAGTGCGCGCCCTGGTGCAACTTGTAAAAGCTTAAAACAGAGGGAAAATATTTGCAGCCTCTCACACCACCTGCAGCTACTATTTATCTGAATCCAATGCCATTGCCCTTTAGGCTGCAGTTATCTGTATATTTGGTCACTCCCGATGAAGATGCGATGCTTTCTCTAGTCTTTCTTTTGAAATTTAGCACGAGATAATACTTCGGCATAGCAGTTGGTCTTAGTATCCATTTGGATATGACATAGCAAGTATTGTTTAGTATCCATTAGGATGACAAGTTTTCTAGGTTAGTCAACGTCGTTGTGCCACTACTCTTATTCAGTTCTTTTCTTCAGTTTGCTATAGATGTTCAGGTTCAGAACATGTGAAGCCAAAGAGTACAAAGTTCAGATATGTTTGTCACTGTGTTTGTGGATACTGCATTGTTTGTATCAATAGTTTTAATCATGATTTGTGATTTGTGTTCCTGAAGGTTGAGGTGGAGCGGATGCGTGCCCGTGCGCAAGACAAGCTGATGACCCAGCTCGCTTCGGCAAGGCACAATGCAGATGAGAAGCGTGCTGCCGCAGAGCTGAAAAGGAACCGTGCAGCCGCAAGGACAGCCGAACAGGCAGAGCACATCATGAGAACCGGCCGGGTGCCGCCTTCATTTGGCTGCTGGAACTGGTGCTCGTAGGGAGAAGAAAAAAAAACATAGCAAGCGAGCTCTCTTCCCTGCCATGAAGCGCCCACGTCTACAAGTACGAGCTAATGATATGAATCATGGCCTCGTAGATATGTGTGACACAAGAATGAGTAACTTGTAAGTTGTAGCTGTATACATATATATGTAAGATGTGAGCTCCACGTGTCCTGTGCTGTGTAGTTACTGTAAGTGTCACAGATGTACCAAATTCAAGGTCGTGTGGTTCAGAGTTACTGTATGTGATAAACTTTACACCAAGAGTCCTCCATGCTAGCTGTGCCTGGATAGGATTTGTGCTCTTCTATCTATACCTGATGTTCATACTTACAGTCCGCACTATAATAGAGGTAGCAATGATAATGAACTTTACAGAACAGGAAGTCAAGCACCTCTCTAACCGACTAATATAAGGTGATATCAAGCTCAGGAAAGAACCTTTGCTAAACATCAATCAACCATAGATATGGAACTTAACCATGTTTGAGAAGGTAATGAACTTGACTTACATGGACCAACAAGGTTCCATTAATTCATACATCAAGATCGGGGAGCAGATGAAGATAACTTGAACCTGAGTACTAGTAAGAAATTTTGGACATCATTTTCTATTTTATGTGCATTTCTCTTGAAGGAGTACTACATACAGCTGGAGGAACTGAAGAGCATATAACAGGACAAGGGTAGCAATCATACTGAATTTTTGTTCATTTCTCTCTTAAAGGAGTCCTACAGCAGGAGGAACTGAAGAGCAGAACAGGCCATGGGTAGCAGCGATACTGAATGTGAAGTGTACAGAAATCCAAGCACTTGTCTCATTCTCTGTTCTCACCTAGAGAAGACCAGGAAAGGGTGCTTTCCATCAAAGGCCTTCTACTATTCGGTTCAATCCACATAATGGAGGCATTTCGTGTAGAAAAAAAAAAACTAGAAACAATTTCAGATATAGCTCAACCACACATGCGATAGTAAGTAGTAACTTGAATTATCAAGCAACAAGGTTGCATTAATCCATTCATACATGACTATAGAGAGCAGATGAAGATAATGTGAACCTGAACAATAGCAAAGAATCAGAATATTTTGTTTGATCTTTGAACTCTCTCGAGTACAAGAGTCCTACTGGTACAGTGGTACAGCTGGAAGAACTGAAGAACAGAACAGGGCATGGCCATGGCTTTTCGTGTAGAATTTCAGACAGATCATCAACCACACATGTATTACTAGTAGTATCTTGAATTATCGACCAACAAGGTTGCATCAATAAATCACGATGGAGATCGAGCAGCACATCAAGTTAGCGTGAACCTGAACAAGTAGTAAGAAAAAATTTAGTAGTACATCTTGATGTTGAATTCTCTCTCGATGCTATTCGAAGAGAAGAGGGGGGCACGGACCCTGGGGGCTAACTCTACTCGAACTTCTTGATGAGGGAGAGGTCGTTGAGCATCTTCTCGATCTTCTCGTCCCCGGCGTCGCCGACGAACCTGCCGCCGGACTTGAGGGAGGGGACGAGCGCGGTGGCCTCGCCGCTGGTGTCGGGGCAGAGGTTGCCGAGCGTGCAGAGCTCGAACTCGGCGAGGCCGTAGCGGCTGAGCGTCTCGCGGACCTGGCGCACGGCGTCGGGGTTCTTGTAGCGGCTGAAGCGCTTCACGTACTGCAGCGACTTCTCGAACACCTGGGACACCTGCGACGTCGGGTCCGACTCCGACGAGTGCTGCTGGATCTGCTCGTACTTGTGCTCCAGAATGATCGCCACCTCGCAGTTCATCAGGCACTTGGCCTTGAGGAACTCTGCAGCCACAAGCTTACGGGTGAGTTGAGTTGAGTTGAGAGGGACGAAACCCTAGCCGCCCGCCCAAGGACTGGACGGTGGTTGGGAAGGGGAAAGGGGGAGGAGGGAGGGAGAGCGGACCTTCGCCGATCTTGAGCTCCGCGGCGTTCTCCTCCTCCTCGCCGGACATCCTGCCGCCGCAGCTGCTGCTTCCGACCGAAGCGAAATCGATCGCTGTAGTCGACGAGGTTGGAAACTTGGAATTGCGATTGGAGTCGACGGCAGCGGGGAGACCAGTGTGAATTGAGGAAGGAGAGGATGGCGGCGGCGGAGCGGGAGGGCTATGCGTTGGGCCGGATCGCCGTGGGCTCTGATCAAGAACGTCTAAAGTGGGGTGGGCTTCGAACTGCTCGGTGTGGACTGAACTGGGCCTCGGAATAGGCTGACCCCGTCCACTCACTCCGCCGCAAAAGGAATATACTGACATCTTCCTCTTCTCCGTGGCCGACGGCGCGAGATCTGCTTCCTCTTCCCCCTGGATGACGGCACGACCTCCTCTTCGTCTTCCCCGTGGCTGACGACCTCATCTTCCTCTTCTCCATGGACGGCAGCGCGAGATCCGCTTTCTCTTCCCCATGGACGGCACCGCGGCCTCCTCTTTCTCTCCCCCATGGCCAGCGGCGCCAGATCCGCCTGCCATGTTGGCCGGGGTCGAGGTCCCCTCGTCGTTGCCGGGGTCAAGCTCCCCCATGCTGTAGTTGAGCTCCCCAGCCATGACATTTCAATTCCATTCTTTTGCATCAAAAAGAAAACGTTATTGAGCTACTTGCTATGATTCTAAAAGCCAATTCAGCGGTCATCAAACAAAAGTATTCGAACTGCGGTCATCAAACAAAAGTATTGGAACTGTAGCCATTTGAATACAATGGCTGATTTGATATTGAACCCAATTCAATTCCAGCTCTTCAATATCCACGTCCAAATGGACCTACGGTAGTGTAATCTCACCCCTCATTTATATAATTGGATTTCTAACATTCCATAACTTTTAAAACTATTTGTTTTACAGTTTAGATTAACTCAAAGAACCTTGTTATATCTTCTTAATTAAATGTTTTAGAAAAAAGGAATAATTTCGGTCTCTCAAATATACACAGCCATCTCTCACAAGGTTTTCCAGCATAACATTGATTAACAAAATATAAGGAAAGAGCACACTCTAGAATTAAATTATACACAAAGTTTAATATGAATAAAATTTTGGTGAAAAAAATATACAGTCTAACCACTTATTTAATTGGATCTTCAAATATTACCATTCTCTGGTACAAATTTCTCGTTAGCTAAGGATGGAGAATAAACTGGCTCTCGAGTGCACAAGATATAGAACGACTGTAAAATCAAATGATAATTAGGCTCGCTCAGTAATCAACTACAGAGGTAAGTATGTGCCTAGTTGGGAAATCGGCCCTACATAAATAAATCAAAGATAATTAGGCTCGCTTCCCGAGGAGAGCATCATCCGGGGGTGTAGCTCATATGGTAGAGCGCTCGCTTCGCATGCGAGAGGCACGGGGTTCGATTCCCCGCACCTCCACCACGTTTTTTTTTTGCTCGCTTCACTTACTAAGCATGGTCCCACCTGCCACTGAGACAAGAGGTTAATCCTGGGCCCACCTGGCAGTAGACTCGATTGGTCCCGTCGCCCCTGTGCCTCGCGGCAGCGGCAGCGGCAGCGTGCGGCTGTGCCGTCGTCTCCTTTCTCCTCCACTCCTCTCCTCGTCGGCTCGTCGCAGACGGCAGACGACGCTGCCGCCTGCCTGTCGGAACGCACGCACGGCCATGGCCATGGCCTCCCCGCCGCCCACGGCTCTCTGCTCCCGCCACTTGCGGCTCCACCTCCCCTACTCCTCCCCCGCTCCGCCCCGCCTGCCCACGGCCGCCGCCGCCGCCATCACCACCACCTCTGCCTCTGCCTCCTCTTCTTCACCGCTCCGGCGCCGCCGCCGGCTCGCTGTCTCCCCGCGCGCGGAAGCTGGTACAGGGACCGGGACGGGGACCGGGACCGGGGACGTGGAGGCGCTCAGGGCCGGGGTGTCCGTGTACAAGCCGCGCTCCTACGACGTGCTCGTCACCGACGCCGCGCGCTCCCTCGCCTGCGCCATCGACGACGGCAAGACCCGGCTCGAGATCGAGTTCCCGTGAGCTTAGCTCGCTCTCTCCCCGCCTTTCTCTCGCTCTTCGCTTGCTCGAAATTGCTGCCACTGTTCCTGCGTTGTCTTCTCACTGTCCGTTTCCTTGTTGCTTCATGCCATGCCTTTCTTCCTGGGCTGGACACGTCTCCTGCTTCTGTATTGTGACGATATATATATCAAGGCCTCTGCCAAGCAGCATCTCTTCTTATAAGGTATATCTATCTACTCATCGCTTTATGTCCATGCATCACTTTTTTTTTAGAGAAAAGGTTTCCCCGCTTTATCGATCATAAAACGTTCAAGACAGCGTATTAGCGCGCCCGCCACATACAGAAAAGGCCTCAAAACCCAACAACACCACTACCCGAATACATTTTGGTTACTTTGTGTCACCATCGAGTCTTCATTCGTGTGACGAGGAGAATCCAAACAGCCCATTCGCCAAAAACGATTTTTTCCCCATTTCGTCGAACCTTCCATTCCACATAATCCCCGTTTGAGTAGCCTGTATAGCCCACATCACCCCTTTCCAAAAGGGGAAGTCATATTATCAGCACAGCACAAAGCATTTGGTCTGTTAGTCCTATACTTATGGTCTACAATCTTAGTCCAAATAGAATTGGATTGTAAATGATACCTAAAGATACAGGAACACAACAACGCCATATTAAGACTTCTTAAATCAGGGATTCCAAGACTCCCTAACTCAACAATTGCTGAAAGAAAACCAATGCCCATTACATAATTATTACTGTATTGAGGAGAGGGTTATAGGCCACTGCTCTATTCTCTGTCTATCTCAGCTGCTCTGTTTCTGATCAGCCTTCTGGACTCCTGCAGGGCTCCTCAGATGAGTTCATCGATGCCAACATCCAGCTTGCTCTTGTTGTTGCTAGGAAGCTCAAAGAGCTCAAGGGGACTAGGTCCTGTATAGTAAGTTCGAGCTTCACACGCTATCCTCCCTGATGCAGACACGCTCCGTGCATGCAAAACCGTGCTCATTTGCTTTCTTCTAGTTGTTTTCAGGTGTTTCCTGATCAACCTGAAAAGCGTAGGGCGTCACAGTTGTTCAAGACAGCTATAGACACGGTAAATGTTGTTCTCAGAAATTCAAAAAAAAAAAATCTTAATAAACCTCTGGTATGGCTTGCTTCATTATTACAATGGCACGCAATTTAATTGCTTGTCTTTAGATTGAGGGTGTTACTGTCAGTTCCCTGGATGATGTACCGACCGACCCTGTCAACAGCTTCTTCAAATCAATAAGAAATACCCTGGATTTTGACTTCTCAGATGACAATGAAGGTAAAATATCTTGATCCAAATGCACTAATGAAAGCAACAGCTATGCGACTCCTAGCCTAAAATGGTATTGTTGATGATATTATTTTGTCAAAGAGTTCTTGACACTCTTTTGCATGGAAGCCATGAGCTAAACTGAATGGCAAACACTTTATGCCAAGGCCACAAGCTGAGGATACTTCTTTACAATTCTTAAGTAAATAGCAAGCCTCTTCATGTTGATGAATTATCACATCTCAGAAAATGGAAATGAAACGACTGATTAGTGTGTATAAATCAAGCATAAGTTCCCTTTCCATCATTGAGTAACAAACATCAGTCAGTTTTGATGCTATTATTATGAGATAGTTCTTGTATAAATACCCATGAATAAGTTCATAACCAGTTGCCTGGTGTGGACACAGATAGATGGAAATCTGATGAACCACCATCATTATATATCTTCATCAACAGCAGCACGCGTGACCTTGCTTCTATAGAGAAGTATGTGGTATGTCTAGAATCTAATGCTTCATTTGTTGGCGACGTGCATGTGTTATTTGCACATTCAGTTGATTCTTTATTTGTGGTTTTGTTAATTTCAGGAAAAGTTTGCCGCATCTGTTCCAGCCCTTTTATTCAATCTTGAACTAGATACATTGCGGTATGCCTCATATATCCAAAACCGTAGCTTGTTGCTTTATGAGGCAGTGACTTATGCAATTCACGGTGCAGTTCTGACTTGGGGCTTCTGGGGTTTCCCCCAAAAGATCTGCACTACCGGTTCCTTTCTCAATTCACCCCAGTATTTTATATCAGACAGCGTGACTACTCCAAGGTATTCATTTGTCTTACTTTTATCCATCTAGACATATCCTTTGTGTTTATGGCTTCCTGTACCATCTGTGACTACTTTCCCTTCTTAACTGTGTAGACCATCGCAGTCGCTCCATACATAGTGAATTACAGCGGAGCTGTATTCCGCCAATACCCAGGTAAATATTGGAGAGCTTATTTGGATTTCTTCACTTGAAAAGATTACACTTTGGAAGATTGATCTGCTGTGCTGGGTATGCAATAGAAGATCAAACTAAAAAATTATGCAAAGTCAATCTTATGGTGGGTAATGTCATCCCTATTTATCAGCACTGTCAGCTACTGAGCTGCTGAGTTACTGTTTGTTCAGGCCCCTGGCAGGTCATGCTGAAGCAGGCTGATGGCTCCTATGCATGTGTTGCAGAGAGTGAAGCTCGGTTCACTTTGGGACAGGTCAAACCATAAGTTACTTGTTCTACTTTTTATTTTTCTTCTCTCTTGTGTGTTTGGGGAAAAAAAAATACTAACTTCGTTCGAGCTTGTTGGGTTGCTGTGCAATTTCTCCTTTCAGGCGAAAGAAGAACTATTGAGGGTTATTGGTTTACAAGAAGAAGAGGGAAGCTCACTTGAATTTCTCAGAAGAGGATACAAGGTTCATCTCATCCTAGTTAAATAGTTGATTGCAGCTTCAAAGCGCCTGCTTGCATAAACTGCATTTCACTATAGCACATCATGAGGTTTAGTAACTGAGTTTCTGTGATGCAGAATGCTACTTGGTGGGAAGAGAAAGTTGATCAGGAGACGTCGGCTGCGTGGCGAACTTGAGACGCTGCAGCTGCTGGCTAAATGCTTTTCTGACCTGGGAGTGCAAAATAGGCCAAACGAGTGTCCATGTCTTGTTGTAACTGAAAAAAAAAATATCTGAAATTACAGAGAGAAGTCCATGTACAGCGTAAAAACATCGCCTGTGCTGATATCGTATCGTAGCATTATTGTTATGTGAGTACGCAGTACGAGCTTGTGAGCACTAAGAATGTTTTTTTTTTCTTTCAATGGTGACTGTAAATTTGTTCTGTTTGGCCCGTTTCGCCCGTTGAAAAAAACAAGCCGAAATATTTTTTGGCTGATTTATTCATGAGAGAAAAAATACTGTTTCGATTAAACAAGCTGAAAAAGACGGATTATAAGAGAAGCGAACATGGTTAAAGGGCTCTTGAGCTTGAAGGTGCAAGTGTAAAATGCAGAGGACTCAAAATTTGAACTTACAAACATTTCAGTTTTTCCCAGCCTGATAAGTTCTTTCTGGATGTGAAAATTTTCTTTGACGCGTGCCTGAAAGGGAAAAACTGAGTGGAGTCAGGAGAGGAGTGGTAATGAGAGAATTGCCCCAATTCCAGAAACTTCTATAGCAACTGAAAGTGTACGGACGTATTTAAACATGTGCAAGATCTCGAGGTCATATCTATAAAAAAGACCACCACGCCCACGCGGAAGCGGAGACTGGAAATCGGGAGGGAGAGACTGCGCGAGATCGCCGGAGATGGAGCCGAGAGCTGCAATCCATAGATCCGGTGCCCTCCTGCTCCTCGCCGCCATCCTCGCGGCGGCCGTCACCTCCGCATCCGCCATCGGTGACAAGTGCGCCGCCTGCAAGGCCGTTGCTGTAAGTTCCTCTTCTCTTGGCCTTTCTCTTCTCCCATTATCGGAGCACCTTATTAAGTGTGTCTTGGAAACTTTTACGTCAGCGAGGGGAAGAAAGTAGCTTCGATCTTTTCCGCTCGTCGTGAAGCTGTAGTCCAAGATAGATCGTGGCCTGGATCTTGTAGCGTTCTCTGTGTAATTTCGATGCTGGTGGAGTCAAAGTTTGAACTTTGCAGATACAGGGCCCTGGCTAGCACTTTTGTGTTGATAACTTGAAATTGCTTAATAGATTAACTCGATTTTGCACTGAGTAGTGGGAAATACGCCGTTTTGTTTTGAAAGACTGAATTTTGAGTTCCAGTGACATGTGCTAGTACCTCTTAGTGCCTCTCTACCATCAGCAAATGGGATTTGTGTTTCATATGCTGCATTTTGTTCCAGCAATTTGCAATGCACACTTTATACATTCTGACGTGTCTCTTCATCTTCTTTCCAGGCAGAGCTAGAGGTTGGAATTTCGAGTGTAAGTGAATCAATAACTTCTCTTTCAGTTGCCTTTAGTTAAGTGATTCCGAGTTTCCAACTATTCTTTACAATGCTGATTATGGTTTTATTTCTATTAAATAGTACCTTTATCTTTCTCAAGTATGAAGATGTTTTTCTTTTTACAATTGACAAAGCAGTCATTTCAAATCTTAGCAGCGTATTATCATATTATTAGTTTCTTGGTGTTGATACCATTTGATCAATTTTTTTGTGTTCCTGAATCCTCTAATGCAGGAGAAGCCAAGAAATCACTTGGACTTGCGCAACCGCTTGAATTCTAAAGGTCAGAGGGAGGGGAAGGTCATTGATTACAGGTAAAGAAAATAGCATGAGCACATTCATATTTATTGGACAAATATTTATTGGAATAATTCGTGATTTAACAATTTACATGGAGACCATTCGATCTTGACAAGCATCGTTTGGCCTCACATACTTATAGCAATCATGGACATTTCTTCATTGCTTACTTTTGTATTGTTATGTACTTGGTTCTATATACATGGTGCAGGGTCAGTGAGCTTCGGGTTGTAGAACTTCTGGATGGCCTATGTGATAAGATGCAAGATTATACTTTAAAGAAGGTAGGACATAAAGATTTATAACTGTTTTAGAATTTGCACTTAGCACTATATTATTGATGCTGCATCCCTTTTCCATGTATCAAGTGTTATAAACATGCCATAAATATGAACTAGGTTTTCACTTTTTAGTGTACTTTGAATATGCTAAGCATTTAGCCACCTGACATATTTTTTGTATGCAGTTGGAATCAGGCGAAAAGGGATGGGTTAAAGTAACAGACTGGAATAGCTTTCAAACTGGTACTTTTTACCAACTTTGTGGCTCCTGTTTACTCTTCTGATGGCCTGTTACTATATTGAAACTGAGAGCCCGAAGTGCAATGTCAATCCATAGTTTTTCTTAATTATGCTAATGCATTCTTTCTGCTTAATCGTTCTCTTACATGCATCATCCCAGAAAAATGATGGCACCAGGTTTAGAACTGTGTTTTTGATAGTTACTGTATGTGCTTACATGATAGACTTATTACAAGCAATTCAGATTCAGTTATGTAAATATATAATCTTGAGGATAGTACAAAAAGAAATGTCCCTAGTAATTGATCCAAGACAAGGAAATGAACTTGCATTTTCTTATGGTAAATCACAATGCTGAATGCTTGCCAAGCAAAGAACAAGCACTGCCTTTGGGTTTGTTTTGCTTCATTGTAATTAAACATTTATCTGTGTATAAGGACTGTTTCTAAATATCTAATTTTTTTGCTTATTGTCGTTCTTTTTGCAGAAAACAAGGCAGCAGCACGAGCGCATTCGAAAAATTTGTCCACCTTCTGTGGAAGGTACAATATTTTCCCAGTAATTTAAAAAAAATGACGGATAGAATAGGCAGCATATATTGTTTGAAATTTTCATTATTTTTTTAAATATTTAGCTGGCAGAACATAGAATGTATGCATAATCTTGTTCTCATTTGTGTGGATACAAAATTTGTATGTGTCTTGGTCAATTACATCCCCCTCCCCTCCCAAACATGTTTGTTCATGCATGCCTTTTCCTAATTGCTGATTTTTTTTTATTACCTGTTGAGTTTCACTCTCGATTACTTGACTTAAAGGCAAGGCTAAACAAACTCTTCAGTCACCATGTGCTTTAAAGCATTACTTTATTGGTTGTGTAAAGATAATATCGGTTTTCTGTGATTTCTGTAAGAATCATACCAACTATTTTAGTGGATGAGCTAACCAGCTTCACTTACTACACAGGCTACTGGAGGAAACCGAGGATGAGGTAGGCTTGTGTTGGGTGGTATTGGCTACAGTTTTGTTTTAGCAAATACGGAGTAACACCTAATCTTTAGCATGCTTAATAGCTGCATTCAATGTTTTGAATCATTGGTTTTCGTGTCATTTAGTCAGAACATGATCTTATATGGATTTTGATTCTTTTTTCTGGTTCATCTGCAGCTCGCTGAGTGGATAAAAACAAGCTGTACAGAATCAGAAAATGTAAGCAAGGCCCTTTGTGAAGATATTAGCAAACACTGTCAATCCACAAGGTATGTCATACCTGATAATGGTCTTTTGTGCCTGCATATATAAAGAATTTCAGTGAGCATACGTGTCATTGTGGTGTTTCAAAAAAGAAGATCCTTTCCTTTCAGCCAATTTTTTGGAACAAAATTTGTAGCCCATGCCAACTATTAGATTCTTGAATGAAGACACTTGTAAAATAACAATGCAGGCATGTTTTACATTCACAAATCACGCACACTTTTCTCCTAATTTAGTTGGTCTAAAATATGTCTTTCCGTTTCCTTTTCCTTCCAGTGCTACCATCCAGATCGATGATGAACTATGACATGCTGGGCAGACCGTTGTTTGGCAAAGCAAAACAGGCGACAGGCTGGGAAAAGTCAAAGAACAAAGCTGTAGTAGTCCCTGGTACATTTAGAGAGACATGAAGCTGCCAATTCTGATTGTTTGTGCCACACTGTATTTCTTGTAAACGGGACATGTAATTCGTTCCATATATATTCTTGGTCAAAAGCTTAGACTGATATATAGAGAAAGCAACGGGACATCAAATTTTGTATACTGATGAATTGCAGTAAAAATGGCCGGTTGAACTATCCTGTCAGGGGCTATTGGAAATCTGAATGCTCTATTCTAAGGTTTTGTTGCTGAGTACAGTTTGATGACTGCATGTAGGTCAATAGCATCAGTGCATCACCGAGGATTATATGCATTTTAGATAGAAGATCACCGAAGATCATATGCATTTTAGATCGAAGATCATAGAAGATCATATGTATTTAGATAGAAGATCATCACCAAAGATCATATGCATTTTTATAGAAGATCACGAAGATTATATGCATTTTAGATTGAAGACGCAATTTGCTAATACAGTTGGACTGTCATAACAAGTCAGAAATTTGTGGTCGCAAATTGCTAAATACAGCTGAACTGCCACATCTTTTTTTTCAGTGCATTGGAAGATCTCAATATCTTCTTTCGAATAAGAGCATCTCCTACAGGTTAGCTAAAAATAAATGCTAAATCTCTTGATTTAGCCATCATGTAAAATAGAAAAGCCTCTCAAAAACACGATGGCTACAGCAGCCTAGCTAAAGATGCTCCTTTTCTATATTTAAATGGGCCAAGACGGACCTGAAGGTTCTTGCATTGGCTGCTAGGCCTGCTCGCAAGCAACGCACCCGCCAGGCCTGCTCGCAAGCAACGCACGCCGCTGCTCGCAAGCAACGCACGCACCGCCGCCAGGCGCAATGCACGCCTTGGTACGGCTGTCCCTGCGTGGCCGCGCCGTTCGGTGCGACGGTGTAGCCGAGCAGCACCCGCAGTGAGCACTTCATACATTCAGATTTTGTCAGGTGAATCCATCAGCCGAGCAGCAACCGTAGGTGTGTAATGGATTCTGAAGCCGAGTTCAATCTGCTACGATGAATTGTATATTGCCGCTGCAGATGAAGATGATTTCAATTACGACGACATGGGAGAAAAGGTGACAGTATCCCATGATAGTACCCCTGAGCTCGATGCTTTCATTCAAAATTACAAGAACATCAAAGACAAGGAAACGCACACACAACTTCAGGCCGATCTTATTGAGCACTTGTGGCAAAATTATCCAGATTTATACAATAATACTATTAATGATTGATTTCAATTGTCATTGGACTGTAATGATGCCATGATTATAATTATTGTAGAATGTTATGATTTACAATGCAGAAAACAACCAGCACAATGTTTAAGAAATATGGTACTCGTATCAGCACAATATGATAATTTATCTAATTTTTTATACGCCGTGCAAGTATGTCATTCTGGAGCTGTTCATATAGTAGCTGCTGTTTGGTGGACATGGTACTCGTATCGACATTGATAATTCTCTCTTCTTCAAGGTTCCTCTCAAACTCAAATTTGTCTTTCTCAAGTCTGATTCTTTCTTCCTCGATTCTGTTTCTTTCTTCCTCGATTCTGATCCTTTCTTCCTGCAATGCAAAGGTTTTTTTGCACCTCTCCTCTTTTTTCAAATCCTTCTCTATGTCAGCCTCTTTCTTCTTTGCCAACAAATAATCCAATGCTTCGATGCTGGAACGTTGTCGTAATTTGTCTTTCTCCTTCTTCTTCCCTGCAGGTCTGTCCACTGTAGGCATTGCTGCCTGACTCTCTTCACCATTAGCAGTGACAACTAATTGTGCAGCCGCTACAGGACTTGAATTCGCCGTGGTCTTTTGCTTTTTCCTTGAAGTCGTTCCACTCTGATTGCTTCTATTTTTCCACTTGGCCTTGTCTTTCAATTTTTCCTAGCAATGGAGGTAAGGGAAATTCCGGTGCTGCTTGTCCTCAGACTTGAACATTTTTAATGCATTTTTTTCATGCAAATTCAAACAAATAGAGACTGCATGACATAGAGAAACATCATATACAATTGGAAGGGCAAGGTCTGTTATCTTACCTTATCAGCGAAAGATAAACCACTTTGATTTCTAGCCTCTATCTTTGAAACGCAACCAGCATATAAGTTCACATCATGTAGAATACCAGACCACCGGCTCATTAGGGAGCTTTGCGTTCGATCAGAATCAAATGTCTTGTTGATATGAAAGTAATCATATATTCTTTTTCAATAAGTCGAACGTGATTGATCAACTCCATGCACTGGATCCAAACTCACATTTAGCCATGCTGAGACCAACATTTCGTCCTCGTCTTTACTGAAATTCTTGGACCTTTTCTGACTCCCTTTCACACTTGCTAGGGCCTCATCACATGCTGTCGTTTCATTAGGAATTGGGACATTATCAGACAAAGCAGCAGGATTACAACCCCTTGTAATTATGTCGGTAAAAGATCTTTCCGAATCCATGGCGCCTGTGAAAAAAAACCACAGGGACAATCAAGATCATAGAATGAAATACCACAGTGAAATGCCACAGGCACGTCTAAACATCAACCATAAGTTGCAGATGTACTGTTTTGTCAGCCAGTGCATCCTGGTTATTACAGGGGGCAATATGCACATGTCTGTTTGTGTCAGGTTAAAGCATATCGCCTAATCCTAGGTACAAACTGTACGCAAGGATTGCAACTTGAACTCTTGAAGCTTGACTGATCACTCCGGCGCGACTCATCAAATGGTAGTGCAGACAATTGACTACGTTAGCCACAAGACGACGTTGGAAGAACAAACCCCAGGCAATGAGAATCAATACGACAATGCCAGTGGTTTGAAGAAAAAGGGCAGTTCAGAACTAACAAGGTTACCTACTACACTAGACAAATGCAGGCAGTATCATCAGGCAATGGGTAAACCTAAAATAAGTGGACATCCTAAAGAGTTAAACGATTTTAAATTTAACTAGATTTATTAAAAAAAGCGATATTTCATTCTATGATCTTGATTGTCCCTGTCAAGATCATAGTGGAGATCCTAAGGTCCTGCTGCCAACATACTTTTGCAAGTACAGTAGTAAGCTCTGATATACACTTTCCAGCACATTGGGCATGTAGAGTTTCCCAAGTCAAAGTAATTAGAAATAGACAGGCACTTTCCAGCCAGCCCACTCAACATGGAATATTTCTAAAGTACCGCCAAGTGGAAAGACCACGACAGACAAGTAGTGCTAAATAAAAAATCATGATATAAAAGGATCATCTTAAACTGATAAATCAGACAGGGAAACAACTTATGAATGAAATAATGCTTCCAAATAAAAAAAGAATATTATTCCCCAGAATAACTGAACAACCATTATCTGCTTAAAATTGCACCATGGTTTTATTGTAAATAGTGAAGTAGAAATTTTAAATCCATCAAGCCCAAAGGAAGTGCTCAACGGAAATCACAAGGCTTACTTATGGAACCACTATAAAGTACAGGTGCCCTGAATCCTGAAAAAATCAAAGTGGGCGGAAAATCTTGGCAGAAGCCAGCAAATTCTTAGGGTGTTGACAAAGAGGACTAGCAAGAGTGGGTGACTCCTTTAATAAATTTTACAGTGAAATACCACAGTGAATAAAATTACTAAACATACTGAAATACACAAGCTCTAGTTCAATAAATAAATTTGTAAATATGCACAATCACTACCTTCACTTTACTGCAACTAGTCCAATTCTACTATCTGAAAGTAGCAAGAATGCTTTCATGATTCCTAGCTCACCAAATCTGAGTTCACAAGAATGCTTTCATTCACAAGTACTCGCAATACATAGCTACTCACAAATTGCATCTGAGCTTACAGTTACATTTCAGATGTGCTATAGAAAAAAATTAAAGCCCTATTTGCTCCATAGGAAGATGACTAAATTCAATGTGCTGCAGAGCTACAGAGATTCAACTGAAAAACAAACTGAAGAATAAAAAACTACTATTGATAGCAAATTAGACAGACACTTGAACAAGTTTCACAAAAATCTGACCTCAACTCATTATATGCACAGTTCATGATTCCTAGCTCACCAAATCTGAGTTCACAAGAATGCTTTCATTCACAAGTAATTGCCAAGAATGCTTTCATTCACAAGTACTAGCAATACATAGCTATTCACAAATTGCTGTAGGAGATTACATGTACATTTCGAGTAGGCTTCATTATTAAAAAACAAAAAAATTGGATCTAGGTATTTGGAACTCACCGGAATACATGCCAGACAAGGGGGCTGATGCAGCGGGGGCAACATTGGGAGGAAGAACTCCACGCCGCAGCCCAGGTACCCCTGCTCTTTGCAACCAAGGCAACGACGGCAACTGATGTTGCTCCCAACCGCTGGCCGCCGAGAAGATGGGGAACGACTGGAGCTCAGAAGAATTGGGGTCCCCGTGGCCGTGGCTCCCAGACATCAGATCCGCTTCTGATTGTGCCTGCGACATGGTGCCTCCGCACGATTCCGAGGTCCTCGAAGGGATCCGCGTCGTGGAGAGAGAGGAAGACGCAGTCTTAGAGAAGAAGAAGAAGCGGGATGGGAAGAAAAACAGGAGAAGGATGTGGGGCGACGCAGAGGGGGGAGGGTGGTGTGGAGAGAAGGAAATCGAGCGCTGGGAGTGGCGAAAGCTTGTCTGCTGGATTCCATTGCGCCATGGTGAGAAGAAAATCGAAAGCTGGAGAGGCGAGCCTGAGCGCTGGATTCCATTGGCACTGCATGGATAGCAAGCGAGTCTCGCATGGGAAAATTGGCCGACGACTCGGGATGGGGATGGCGTTGAAAAATAGAAGACCGGATAGAAAGGCTGTTGGAGAACTTTTTTGGGCCACAATAGCTATAATAGTCTGCACAGATGTATTTAGCCCATTTGTAGGAGATGCTCTAAATGAAGATCTCAATATCCCATGCTCGTCTTCTTTGCTGTACGGTCTACCTGTGACGTCATCAAATGCACCAATTATACCGAAGAAACCCCTTATTCACAAAGTGTTGTGCGCTCGTTGACATTGCCAATTTGTCATCGCAAACCATTCCTTTCAAACTGTTGTTTTTCTTTTCTTTCTTAGAACTGGAAGGATACACTTTTAAAAATAAAATTGTTGCATGTATAAGTTAAATCCACATGTTCTTACAACCCTTCTTATTGAAATTGGAAAAGTCAATGAAAAAATCCAATAAAAATCTAATATAATTAGATCAAGTTATAAGATGATGAAACAACAAAACAAATAGCAAAATATGCATGTCTTCTATATTTCTTTATATATTGAAAGTAGTAATTCTGCTACGAGGACTTGCGTTAAGAGTTTGAAAGTTAGTGTGGTGATATGACTACTAGCAGGGGATGGTGTGGATGATTTGCATGTTAAGATAGAACGATAGTGATGATTAGCTTTATAAGAGATATATAGATATAGATTTTTTTAGAGTTTATATAGATATAGATATAGATATAGATATAGATATAGATATAGATATAAATATAGATATAGACATAGATAGATAGATAGATAGATAGGGATTCCTATATTTGTATGTGGCATAGTCCATAGAACTCTTATTTTCAAAATTGTTGCCCCCAAAAGTAAAAAATACAAGTCGTCACATTTTATTTTGCACGATTTTGAAGCATACATTTAACCACTAATTTGTTCTAGATAGAATATATATTTTTTAGAATCCTTCAAATTTTGATCATTTGACAAGTCTTTTCAATAAAATTTCACACATATAACCATGTTTTGAAACTAAACAGTCTAAAAGTTAAAATTTATTTACTGCTCCCTTTATTCTAAATTATAATACGTTTTGGATTTTCTATATATATTACTTTTTTATAGTGTATATTTGTATTTATGTGTATCATAGTGTATATCTAAGTGTACAATGTTTTGGCTTGATGTTTGAATCTATGTATCTAGAAGGTCAAAATATTTTATAATTTGGAATGGAGGTAGACAGGTATGTTTTGGCTTGATGGTTTGACAAAACTTTATTTTGAGCTTAGTATACATGTTTTTTATCACTGGAGGTAATTTAATTTTGATCAACTTTACCTGTTCGTCACAAGTACCCTGTGTTGGTGGGCCACACCACACTGAGCCGCGAGGAAAACGTAGACAGATTTCCAACCAATTGGCTTGAGCTATTTTTCAGCAATTGAACAGCAGCATAAACAGCCTAAGCGAATCCTTTCCATTAACTGCCCTCCCTTCCGCCCCGGACTTCGATTTCGTCCTGCTCGCCCATCCCCAAATTCTTCCTCCTCCCATCCCGTGCAGCCGGCCTCACCGCCGGCGACGGGACGCGGAGACCAGGCTGCCCCCACCGTCCGCCGTGCTCCTCCATTTCTTCGTCGCCCCCGCCAAAACCTTGCTCTGCCGAGGCTGCACCGGCTGGGTGGCTGATCCCTTCGTTCCTCGGTGTAGGTGAGTAAACGCTAGTCGCTCTACGTTCTACGGGTTCGTTCGTTTCGTGCGGCGAGATCTCTTATTTCTCTACTGCGGCTGCGGGTTTCGATTCATAATCTCACTGTCCGCGTCAGTCCAGTTAGTCTCGTGCTGTGTTTGTTTTGCTGAGGCCTGCGGATTGCTGTGATCACTGTTCGATTATCCTCTTGTACGGCTCGCTGTACCGATCCCAGTTGCCCCCCTGATGTCTTGAAAATCTCAGTTGACCCCGTAGGACTTGGTAATCCCAGTTGACGGGTCTTATATTCATATATGTTAATAATAATTAAAAAAAAGAAACTATGCCTCTGGGTTTTGCAAACCAGACCTTTGGGAGTCACTTCTCTTAAGTTGATTTTCAGGAGAAATTGATTCATTTAATCTTGTGGAAAATTTGGTAATTGAGTTGTGAGATGAAAGACATCAGAACCATGATAACTTGCTATTGTATTACTGCATGATTTTATTTAGGAACTTGGTATCCTTTATGCTGTCGTAGCTCCCAAGTTTTGCTTGCTGGATTTGTGGGTTTCAGTTCGAATAGCTGAAACATTCTCTGAACTTACAGTACCGCTGAACAAAACTCTCGGCTTTTGGATTGTGGAATGCAAATGGAAAACAAATTGGATAAAATTACATCTGTTCTACCATTAGATATTTCTTCCACCGTTAGCCTTACTGATTATTCGATCAAAAACTTCAACACTATCTGCTTCAGATCAGAACTTGCTCTGCTAACTCATTGTATGTCGCCGGGATAACACTTCTTGTGCATCATCATCTTCACAGGTTCAATTTAATATTCCAACAAAGGGCACCCTGCTAGTCTCCCAGATTGTTTCCTAACAATGAGGACGCATGAACGTGCTGCCAATTTGGCTCTTGCCGGTATGTTAATTGTGCAGTTGAGCCATGACTGCCTTTACATCGCTCCTTTCCTTTTTCCTTCCCCTTTGATATAATAAGCCCGTGCTGACCTCAGCAGCATATGTATTTTACAATATGCAGCTCTGAGCTTGGCGCCACTTGTTGTTAACATAAACCCAAATGTGAATGTGGTATTGACAGCATGCCTTACTGTCTATGTGGGTTGCTACCGTTCTGTCAAGCCAACTCCACCCTCTGTAAGTAACACGTGTCGATGTATCTGCTGGCTATTATCGTGACTTGTAACTCATGCGACCAACTGAATTATTTTTGCATTTGTTATTATGCAGGAGACCATGTCCAAGGAGCATGCTATGCGGTTCCCCTTAGTTGGAAGTGCTATGCTTTTATCACTATTCCTTCTATTCAAGTTTCTCTCAAAAGACTTGGTCAATGCTGTGCTCACTGCCTACTTTTTCATTCTAGGCATTGTTGCTCTCTCGTAAGTCCATTTTTTTCTTCTAACAGCTTTTGCAGACATGTTAAGCTGTTTATGTGCTGTACTTATGAGGCCCTTCTTATGCAGTGCAACACTCCTTCCTTCTATAAAACATTTTCTTCCAAAAGAGTGGAATGATAATCTCATCGTCTGGCGGGCTCCATTTTTCCACTGTATGATCCCGACTCCCTTTCTTTTGTGCTTAGTCTTGTTGATCCAGTTATGCAGATCTTGAAATATTACTACACCTATGTTTTCAGTGCTATTTTAGAGCACTATTTGATTGTATTTTAAGTACTGCCGCGCATTTTTTAAAAATGTGGTGACTGGTGACTAAGAGTTGATATATTATCTTTTGTACTGAATGAACCCGAGCTTTTTCACCATTGACTCTTTTAACCTTGCTACGGACAAAATGATATTTCTCCATGTGGATATGGAAGCTTCCATTTTTTGACATTACAAATCTAAATACTGGCATGGATGTATATCTTTGTTTATAACATTTTATGGATATGGAAGCTTCCACTTCTCCCTCTGAAATAGGCGTATTATAAGATTTCAGTTACAATGGCTGTCATGGTGTTAACTTTTAATACAACCTTTGCATTTGATTGACTTCTTATGAGTCTTAGACTCTTAATTCAGAACAAGGACATGGAGTACTGGATTTAACTATGCCAGTAGCCTCCCTTTGCAATCTTTATTCTTGAAGATGGTTTAAGTCCATGAATTTCTTATTTTAGCACTCTCAGTGGAGTTCACAAAGTCCCAGATTGTTGCTTCAATACCTGGATTTTTATTTTGCTTGTGGTATGCGTCAAAGAAGCATTGGCTTGCAAACAATGTTCTAGGATTGGCTTTCTGTATTCAGGTTTGTTTGCACGGTTTAACATTAATATACATTACTAAAGATTATGGAATAAAACCTAAAATCATTTGATTTGTTTTACGCACCAGTTTTTAGTTGACCAGAACTTCAATTTTGCAGGGGATTGAGATGCTGTCATTGGGATCATTTAAAACTGGAGCCATTCTCTTGGTAAGGGTTTTCCCAATGTTTGCTTGATTTGGCTTGAGCACTATATATTTCTATTTTATGTCATAATTTCTAAGAGAACTCCGCCTATGTTGTCTCAACATAGCAAGTCTAAGCCCTGGTAAAGGAGGGGGGTTGTGATAGGCGTGGCGAGCCAACGTTAAATCTAGTCATTCTAATGGAGATGAAACCCGAAAGAAAACCGTTGGGGTGTAACCCTCTTAGCGATGCGCCATAACGGAACCCGGGTATGGTGTTAAATGGGCAAGGGTCGGGTCGGCACCCCCTTGGTGACGCGCCGTGTCGCGATCTGGGCATGGCGTCAAGTGAGCAAGGATCGGGTCGTCGCTTCCTTAGTGGCGCGCTACATCGGCGCCCGGGTGTAGTGAAAAATGAGCAAGGGTCTTCACATCTGATTCGACGGGTGCGAAGGGTAAGGAAGCTAGTCGAACTAACTAGGATCCGTTTAGATAGTTGGAATGTAGGGTCGCTTACAGGTAAGTTAAGAGAATTAGTTGATACCGCGACTAGGAGGCGTGTAAATATATTATGCGTTCAAAAGACTAAATGGAAGGGTCAGAAGACGAAGGAGG